GAGCAACTATAAAAATACCTACAAATACCTGACAGTGCAGTTAGGTTTTCCTCTGGTGCCTCAGTATTTTCTTTTTTTTTTCAAAGACTGTCAAGTATGTCTGTGTTACCATGAATGAAGTTATTTAACTCAGAGGGCCACGTAACTATGTATTTTGAATAGACCTGACGCTACCTGAGATCAGTTCCAGGCTGCTGTTATGACCTTACATGAGGTCAAACCCTCCTGTACTGAATTAAGCTTTTAATTTACTCTTACGTATGCCAATAAGATTGGCTCCCTAGCTCTGCTCTAGGAGAGAAAGACCCCCTTAATTCCTTTAATTATCCATTTAAGTTAATGGGAGGAGAAGCGACCTCCTGATCCAATGAGAACCCTCATCATATCTCTCATCATAGGCTTGAACTACCCAAAGAACAGTGGATCAGAAAAACAAAAACAAAACAACAAAAACAAAAACCAGTACAAATACTTAATGACAGCATCATGTTATATGAAAGAAACCAAGTCCATTCTGTCTGACAAGTAAGAGGCACTTTGCATAAGGGACAGAGAGACTCCATGGTGGCTCTCATGTCAACGGAGTAACGAGTTAGGGCTGGTTGCCTGCCTACGTTTGCAATGTAACAACAACACATAATTCTGCCCGATGATGCAGGTAACTACAGATTTTACTCCACTGGAATCACTGGAATCTAGTGAACATGGAATTTATGTAAATATGTAAATGCAGAAAGGCAGGAACCTCTATCACTCACAATAATAATATGCAGTGAGTTTCACTCCAACCATTCATTCCTTTTTCCTATCTGCAAATGTGCTTGCCACGAATCTTCTAATAAAAGATTCAAAATAGCAGCAATTGAGACAAACGCTGTTTGCAATTGACCTCCCATTTCCCTTAGAATTACAAGGCCCCTTAAGATGTTTACATTTTATGCAGTGGCTAGATGACTTTATGTTAAAGTAAAATATGGGATCAACATTTTGTTACATAGTTTTTCAAGACTTCTGTATTAAAATACAGAAAGGGGAGATCATTAACATCCTTTTTTACTTTGTACCTAGATAAAATAAAAGGAAGAAAACAGCAGATGGCAGCACCAGATGATCGTGATACATCTGATAGGATTTTTAGGATTAAAGTTATTACAATCTGTTGTCCAAAAAATTGTAAAATGTATATCCATAGAAAGTCATTAATACATATCTACATAGGTAGTAGAAAACATCTTGGTCTTTGAAAGAATAACAAGCACATTCTGCTCCATACAAGTCTGAGTTTCAACAGTACTGGACATCACTGTCTAAGGTATCACAGCATCTAAATAGTATGCAAGAATCGACATCTGTGAGCTGATGCAATCCCTCAGAGCCTATTAAGCATAGACTGTTTGCTTTACACTGCCAGACACAATTAACTCTGATGTGTTCATGTATTCTAAGAGCTAGAGCAGCTACTGGAAGGAATGGCTGAAGATCATTACTGACTCTCCAGCCTCCAGCACTAGGGCTGAACAGTACAGAATCATGACCAAACTGAACAAGCATTTGTCAGCATAATATTGGTCTGGCTGATCCTGGACTGCTAATGGAAAGAGAGGTCCAGGACAGCGACACCTCAGCATAAGCTGTTGCAGTTGGAAAGGTGGTCATCCTTCATAGGGAGCATGACAGAAATACTGAGCTCTATTTTCAAAATGAAGAAAATCCCCCTTTGCATTTTTAGGGCCTCTTTCTCATTTTTAGAGTTTTGTTAAACATATATATTGGGTTTTTTTTCATTATTCCTTTCCTCTGACATCTTACTGAATCGGGACTTTAAAAAGATGTTATTTAAATGGACACATAAATAATCAACTAATTTATATTCAGAGTAGGTCTGTTAAGTGAAACTTGTACTCCTCCCAAAGTTTTCCTCCAAGAATCCCGTGAAGTCTCTCTAAAAAATATCCCTTTGACCCTCACCTTCATGTTCCATCAGGACACTATCTGAAGTAACATCAGTCCACTGAGAAGAGGGTTGGAAGCAGTTTTAATCTATATCTTTCTTGTTAACCATTTCTTGTTAACCATATCTTTCTTGTCTAACGGATGCCTTGAGCTTGATGCTATTACTGCCACAACTAAAGCAGACTACTATTTCATTATTCTGTTTGTATAATTAATAAGCAACTGAGTAGTTGGTGTAGTAAAATTAAAACCATTTGCTGGTAAAAGACAGTGAAGATTGTACAGCAGTCCATATCTTGTCTCATAATATATTGTATTTGTGGCTCCCTGCGAGCTTAGTGCTTTTCAGCATCCTGTATTTGTGGAGTTTTCACAACTTTTTAACAAAGGTAACAACCCTCACATAGAAAATTGAAGCTTACAGAAAAGAAGTTTCCTTTGCTGGCTTCTTAGAAGTAGTCTTCCCAACCTGAACAACACAAAGGAGCACAGGACATTTCTTTCCGTTTTTCCTTTCCTACCTCTGTTTTCAAACTGCACCTATGCACAAAAAGGTGGGTCTAAAAGTACCAAAACAAAGGAGATCAGAGAGGTAAAATCAACCTTTCCTTTTGAAAGCCATCACTAGTTAGTTCCTTCAGAGGCAATTATACCCTGCCAGTTGTACAGTCTCATTAGTTCTGCTGGGACTGCTGAGACTGAAAAACCTGTAACTTACTGGAAGCAAATGAGGAAACCTGTTGTTCAGTCACAGGGAGGAAGAAATTATAATGCATTTCATTCTGGCTCCTCAGAATTCACAGAAGGGAAAGTGGTAATAATGTTGTTGTTCAACAAGCCAGCAGATGTGACTGAATCCACGGAGGGAGCAGCTACTTGCGCAAGAGGGCAACATTTTTACAAAATCTTTCTCCATGCCAAACCACACTCCTAACTTGTTTTTGTATGTCACTATAACTCTGGACATATTTCATGATATTTAAATTTTTTTTTTTTTTTAAAAAAAGCATACAAAATACTGTGCAGAGGATAAACAACTCTGGTTCACTCACATGTTGTCACTGACTTTCATTGTATGGCCACCGTTAGGGTAATGCAAGGTCCTTGGCAAATGGTAGAATGTACAATATAATGTCATACATGGAAATATCTAGTTTCCCACAGTCATAGATATATGTGCACAGTACTTTGCATTATTTGCATGTTCTGTGAAATACATTTATGTATTAGGAAAGATTTAGCTGAATATTGAACCTCACTTGCCATTACCTATTAATCAGTGGCCTCAAATAGGATAATGCAACACATTGCTGTCACATTGTCTTTATTCTCATGATAGGTGGGGTAATGCTATTATTTTCATTTTATTCAGCATCTAGAAAACTGAAAAACTGCATGATCAACGTTGTGACTTTTAAAACATTTTCAGAAATGCTCTGCATAGCATTGCATTGCTTTGGTGACCGAGACAGCTAAACCCCATTTTCAGAAGTAATGTAAGCAATAAGGAGTACAAGACCTAGTTAAAAAAATCAGGCTATTTATTTTAGACACCAGACCTAAATTTAGACAGCTATCTCTTTACAAAACTCCTGGCCAAAAGAGAGCTTGTGTGCAAACAAGCATAGGAAAAAAAAAAAAAAAGACGACATTTTCCAAAACTTTGTGTAGCTTTTGGATAATGTGAATCAGCTTCTTTATTCTCAGATCTTGAATCAAATTCAATGGAAAGAAATGTGCAGTCTTGTTTATTTTGTTGTTGTTACATTCTGAGTTAACTGTCTTTGAACATGCAGTCCTCAGTAAGCTGATGTTCCATACCAAAGTTAAGAATAATGGTAATAAATGAAAATCACTGGAGTGCTTATAGTACAAGGAAACATCATATCTCATGTTAACTAGATAAAAATGCCTAATATGTACTATGTAATATTTGAAGTATGTCTAAGCGGCTCAACCGAATCTGTTAATGAATGGTATTACATAAGGGTTCCTTTTAGAGACACGATTCTGCATAACCAAAGAGTATGAGAATTCAGCTATCCCCTTTCAATAGGAAAACAAAGGAAGTAAATATAAGACTCTTTTTTTACTTTTATGCACACAGCATTTCACTTTCTTCTATATATTATTCAGCAGAGAAATATTTCCATGGAGTTAGAAGACTGTTCGGAAAATGAAGAAGTTTTAAACTTTGAGTTGAGAACACAGTCCCACCTGGAGTACATAGCATCAAAATGTACCCAGCACACTTTCACAGCACACTTACTTAGCAGTTTACCTTGTCTGATATGGCTGGTGCCGCCCCACTCTTCTGCTGACCTTCACCAGACAGACCAGTACGTGTTGAGCCAGACCCAAAACTTGGGCCCTTACCAGATTTATGGGGTTTAGAACATGAAACCCCACTGCTATTTCCTTTGCAACTCTTTTGGTGTACAGTGAGACGATCAGGAAGAAACGTCCTGCCACAGCTCTCACAAGGCAGGAGCTGGTCTTGAGCACTCTGGTATGCTGCCTCATTTTCAGCTGTAAGCGTACAGGAATCACGAGCATGGGCCTCAGGTCTCCTGGGCTCCATTCTTCGGAGATGCTTTGGTAGCTGATCATTTTCAATACGCCACTTCTCTAGGCACTGCGGTTCATGTATAGAGATAGACTGGGATCCAAATTCTCTGCCACAGATATAACACACTCTAAAGCCAGGTCTTCTTGGTGGGATGACCGGTCGATTCAGTGGTGTCTTAGACATGTTTGAAGAATCTAACTGTTTTGATATTACTGCAGTACCTGGTCGTCTTTTCTTGGGGCCTGCTTCAAGATACACTATTTCTGGCAAAGAAGTTACAGCAAAATCTGACCCACTGGATGATGAAACCTGTTCTGAAAGCAAAATGATGGAACTATTAGGACAGACCTCTCCAACTTTAGCAGAGTTTTACTAGTTTTGTTTGGATTCCTTTTCTTTACATTGTTTCCATGAAGGGCAAAACATTTTCAGAATTCTCTCTTCTACACAGATAGGGCTTGAGAAAGGCTGCCATCCAGTGCAATGCTCTGAGATGTTAATTTATATTCATGGATCTCAATTTACCAAAGATTTTAAAACTGAAAAACTGCACCTAATGGTCTTTTCAGTGGGGAAGAGTGCTTCTGCGTAATTTTGTTTTGTCTTTAGGTTTTATATGATCCTGAAGCAAGTAAAATCCATACACATTAACAAATACCACATCTCTTTTTAAAGTTAGCAACAGATGGTTTATCACCAAAGTCAGTATTACTCTGTTCTATTTTTAAATAACAGACAAATAACATCAAATATATCCTATCTCTAATCATGAGTTGCACAATATAAATCTGAAACTTTAGAGTCAGAGGATGTAAAGTCATGAAGGGCATAAAGAAAGGTTTGTATGAACTTAAAGTGCTGAAATATGCACAGCATTTAGTATAATCAATATGTATGATTCATTTTCAGCTACTGATAGAACTGGCATCTTGATGGCAGTCTTTAATTTCTAAACTAGTTATGTTATTAGTTAGACATCATTTATCTGAGAAAAAAAAAAAGCTAAGAAATCCCTGTATGAAGGAGCTGATGTTAATGTCCATTCTCTAAAAGCACAGTCAATTAAAAAGGAAAATCTTCCCATTCAGGAGGTTGAAAGAAATTATTAGGATCCCCACTCAGCATTTGTGAGGTGGCATCTCAAATTCTCTCTCCAGTCTTGGGCCTTCTAGGATAAGACAGACATTAATAAATGTGACCAATTCCCATCAAGGACCATTAAGATGATCTAGGGCTGAAGCAAACAATATGCTAGGAGAGGCATTGTGTTTGTTCAGTCTCAAGTGGTATGACTGAAAAGGGGATCTAACAGCAGTTTCAAAGTATCTGAAAGAGTTTTTACAGAGGAGATGGATGGAGCCAGGCACATCTCAGAGTTGCACAGGGATAGAACAAGAGGCAATGATCATGAACTGCAGCAAGGGAAATTCCCACTGTGTATACAGAAAAAGATATTTTATTGTGAAAATCAACAAGCACTGAAAATGGGCTCTGTGTCCTCGGAGGTGTTCAGAACTCAGCTGCATAAAACCCCACGCAATTGTTCTAAGATTGAAGCCAGCTCTGCTTTGAGTAGGAAGTTAAGGCTCAGTATATGATTCCAGTTCCTCCTAACTTAGCATGGATGAAATTTAAGGTCATCATGCACCAACACTATACCAGTTACAGGCTGTCATTTTAATCCTTTTCACTGTGAAATAAATTCGCTTTAGACAAGAACTCGTTAGTAGAATGAAAGCCACTTTAATCCACACAAAAGCATTAAAATATATCTTATGTGATCTTTCTGATTCTCTAGGATGTATTTGATACCATAATAACTTGAAGGTCTGCCCATCTCTGAAAGTCTAATAGGCAGACCAAATTCCACTCTGCCATAAATCTGGATTTTTGTTATTAGCTTCAATGGCAGATGTTTACACATATCACCTTATCTAATAGTTTATATGACTGGTTTGCACAAACAAGAGTTTTACATTATTATGATGGGAATAGCACTATTTTCAAGTTAAATTTGATTAAAAAATAAGAAATGGATCTGTATTTGAAATTAAAAATCCAGGACTTCCTGTTTACAAGAGTCTAAGGCTGAAATAGCTATGCAGTAGTTGAATTTTGTTGATGTGAAATGTGAGAAGAGAATCAGACCCCTGTGGTACAAAAGATAAATGAAAAATAGTTAAGTATTTGACCTCTCACAAAACCAGTTTTACACTGAAATATCCTTTGATTACCTTTGGAGTCTATTGCTGTAGAAACAATATGTGCCTTGTCTTAAGAAAATACAGGAAATCTTGACTATTCAAGATGACCTAAGATTTTCATTTTGATCAGTTTTGCATATGTGATACTTGAACAAATATCTTACTGAGAATTACTTTTTATCTCCATGACATCCTTCTTCCAAGCATTTCTGATTCAGTGTTTACTGGAAGACAAGTTCATGATCACAGATGTAACAAACTTGAAAATCCAGACAAGGTACTGGCACATAAATTTGATCCTGTATAAAAGAAACAAATGTAACACATGTAAAGTAAATGACTACATACAACAACTGAATTTATAAGCAGCTATATTCAGTTGGACTTTAAATTCTTAATGAAGTTACAGAATCAAATTAGCAGTGAGGTTTGGATCACATTAAGTAAGCGTAAGTGAAGAAAAGCAAAAAAAAATGCTTTAATCCTCAGTATAATGTAAATTTTCTGTTAGGAATTCCATGGATACTTAAAGGTTAGTATGAGCTCCAAGATAAAAGACTTGTCTCACATCTTGTTTAGTGGAATCCTACCTAATATTTAGATATTAATAAAAAGTCAAAGGCCTAATGAAGCTGTGCTTTTGAATTCAGAATTTATGCCCAGTCTTGTGTTCAATTTTGTAATGTGAGGTTTTTCAAAATGATTTTTTTCTTCTGCTTGGCAACTACAAAAATAGACTTTTAGGGACAGAGGTAAATGTTAGTTTTCACTCGTGTTAGTACACCACAGCCTAGTTAGTTCTGGGAGTGTGGGCTAAAATCGCTCCTGAGTCACCTACCAGTAAATGAACTGAGAGCTGTATCCCAAACAGAGGCCAAATTCTTGAGCAATAACGATTTAAGATGAGCTTTATTGATGGAAAAGGTGAATAACAAAGGAAGAGACAAACAGCTTGACTTACAAGTCCCACCTGTAATTTACAAGTTTTGCTTGTAAATGTAGGAAACTGTGATATGCCAAGAAAAGCCTGGCATGACAAAAACAGGACAATAAATTTACAACTATGAGATACTGGTTTTGCAGCTAATTTTCCAGAGCTGAGGGAAAATTTAAAAGGTTTGAGTTTCAACCTTCTCAGAGTCCAATTTAAAATTAATAGATTATCCTATTAATCACTTAAATTGTAATTGCTACTGCAGTGTCTGTGAATTCATAGGCAACTATAGAACAAGAGAGAACTATTCCATGCCCTTATGTATTTCAAACCCAAATGTAAAAAAAATCATATAAATCCTATTTATGTCACATTAAAAATGCTTGTAGCTTCATGATGTTTAAAATATGAGTGAGTTATACTGTACAACACAGACGTGAAATGAATACTCTGCTTAACAAATGAAAGTGACTTACCCAAAGTCTTGTTGCACATGGTTAGACATGTCAAAAATAAATCCTTCATCTTTGATTCTTATGCTTCTGGCAAACGCAGAAGACACTTCTCTTTTCCAGTTTATCCAGAATCCAGGGACCAACATATGACAACGACCTTTTAATGCCTAATTGTCTTTAGCAACTCGGTTGTTAGTGATTGCCTGATTGCTGGGCTTTCTGTTTGTTACCGACTTAATATATTGGCATATATGCATATTTTGCAGCCAAATCTTATTAGAGGTAGCGAACTGTGTTAAAATAATTCATGATACATAATGACAAATTTAGGAGTCTTTTCTAGTTTTTTGCAAGCTACTGTGAGAGTATTAGCTTTCCCTGTTTGTTAATTCAACCTTGGAGAATTTTTACCTACAGGTTTTCTAAGGACTTACACCTTCATACTTGGCACTCTAGAGAAGGTACCTTTTCCATACCTTAGAAAACCTTACTAAAAAAGACATCAACAAAGAAGCACTTCAGACAGGACTCAGAGCATTTTTTGCTCCAGACATTTCAGGAGACCCTATTTCCTTCAAGAATTTCAGTTTTTCAGAGTGATGCCCATCCTACAAAGCAGCACTCACATTTCTGGCTTGAACATTCACACAGTTGCATATTCCAGGGACATTTGTGATACTTGTTCATTTTACAAAATCCCCTGTGAAGATCAGATTTGCAAATTGTACGCAAATATGCAAACTGGAAGATAGGAAGACCATCAGAGCCAACTTGTAACAAGTCACCATAAAAGAGGATTTTAAAACTAGCTGGTAAAAAATAAATCATTCAGGGATTGTAGACTTCTCAACACTTAATACAGAATGGTTGAGGTTGGAAGGGACCTCGAGAGATCATCTTGTTCAACCCCTCTGCTCCAGCACGTGACATCTAGAGCACGGGGCACAGGGTGGCATCCAGGCCGGTTTGGAAGATCTCCAGAGGAGACTCACAGCCTCTCTGGGCAGCCTCTGTTCCAGGGCTCTGCCACCCTCACAGGAAAGAAGTTCTTCCTCATATGGAGGTGTTAACACCTCTAAAATTCTATTACGTAACTGCCGTCTACTGAGTAATATTGTAAAGGCCAAGGTTGCAATCTTCTCTCATTCCTGAAGGTATTGAATATTCATATACTGTTCGCTAGAAGGTACAGAAAGTTTAGCACTGAAATTTTATCATAGGTATCAAAAAGCATTTTTGTCCAATACCTTCAGAGTGTAAAATTGTGAAACATTCGGAGGAAAACCTACTAAAAATAACAATCACACAAAACACTCAAACACAAACACACTAACAATCACTAAAAATAACAAAGAAACAAAGGTTACAAGCAGTTTGGACAATAGCAGTTAATAACACACACACAACTAGCTGGCTTCAGAGTGGCGCTCTCCCAGTCCTAAAGAAAAAAAAATTTCCCCACAGATAAGTCCTCTTTCTCTTTTACTCTTTGTAGAAAATATCAGAAAGGTTATTCATGAAACAAATACAAAAACCTTTTCATTATTTTAGAATTTTTAATTTTTCTGACCTTGACTTTATGAGAGGCTGATTACTTTGCACCACAAACTGCTACTGCATGACTTTGGCAGGCCCAAATGGTAGTGTACATTGATGCAGCTATGTACATCAAATTTCAATACATTTGCAAACTAGCGGAGGGGCTGCTCTACTGCAAGGCGCTTTCAAAGACTAGGAGAGTTTCCAGGGCGGGTGGCCTATTGGATGAATCCAAGTTGAGAAGTAGCCAAGCTCTTTAGGAGGATAAAGGGAATGCAGAGCCAAGAAAACATTAGGATCACAAGAAGAGAGGAGATAAGGGTTATTGGAGGGTCACAGGAAGGGAGCATGAAAAAGTTCAACTACATTTCAGGGAACTTCTGCACTTTGCAAGGCTGTAATCCTAACTACATGTTCTGTTTACTCATTTATGTCGTAAAGATACTTTCTGCTACCTGGGACAATTTTTAAATCAACATTGGATGAGAAACTGACTACGACATGAAGAATGCTAGGTGACTAGATGTATTACTGTTTAAGAATGAATCAGTCAATAAAAGATGCTATAAACAACCTATTAACAATATAACCTATTGTTGGATTTCCACGCTTGCTATTGTAAATACTTCATAAGAGAATTATGCTTCCTTATGGGGATTACACCATTTCATCTACATTTATCCCTCCTAAGTTGACCATTTTTATTTCAAAAGTTCCTATAAATTCAGTTTGAAATGAAAATGCATAATGGCAATTCAAACCTTCTTCTCTCAAGGTCAGTGATAGAGACACAGAAATCAGTCGGGATTGGGATTTATCATTTCTTTTAAAAACATAAAACTTTGTTTTTTTTCCTTTTAAAAATGTTACATGTTGTTTAATAATATGAGAAGATAGAGTTGGTCTTTGCATATACTTGTTGGGAAATGTTCTGCTCCTCTGCAATTCCACTGAATGCTGCAATACTTATTAAATATCTCATGAATTGCAAATGACAAGGCTTATACAAATAACATATTCAATTTAATTTAAAGCAAATAAGTATAATGACTTGTTCAACATTAGGCTGAAAGTTTCACTTTATGCAAAAGAGAAACGAATTAGAAGACTGCTAATAGTTCAGTAATTTTTGTCCTGAAGGGGGAATGGGTACTCTTGCACACCTTGTTTTTTAGCTTATTCAGTCCAAAAATTGAAACAACTGCATTGTTAACCAGGCTTTAGTAACACTGTGTTCTCTTAGCTATCATGATGTAAATGCAATTCAAACTATAGGCACAAGTTTATTCCCTCATATGGCCTTTGGTCTTCCCTCATGTCAGTGTTGGAACTTGGAAAGAAAGCTGACACATACGTTTCCTATTTCGTGTATTCAGTCCTTCCTGAAGAGTGACCCTTTCTGTTTCTCATCTGTCTTGATTCTCTCATGTAAACAATTCCTCAAAACCCATTATCGGGTCATTTTACAAGCCTGGATTTCTTGACTGAACTGAACAAAACATACTCGTACTAGCTGGGGGATTAAATTGGTCATTTCCAACAACTCCTCAACACTACTGCTTTTGACTTAGCTCGAATTCTACATGGAGACTTCAAGGTTGAAAAACAAAAACAAAAAAAACAAAAATAAAACAGAGTTTACCTTGTGGAAGAACACATCACATGAAGTGCCCTGCTGCCAGAAAACAAATGTGGTTGTTCAGTGGGCAAGGAACAGAATCAGTTGTAATAACCTGGGAAATCTGTTTGTGTATTATGCATTATGCTCTTATGAAGACTGACTGACATCACAGACTGTCCATTTGCAGCTGTGTCAGACTATAAGCTCCATTTTAAATACATGGTTGTGTTATCTCCTCTCTTCCCCCTTGCCTTCTGAAAGGGACATGACAAATCCTGCAACAAACAACACAGAGCTAAAATCACAGGTCATGGAACTTTCAAGTTTACACATTCCAAAGAAACAGCCCTTGCACATCCTTGACTCCCTGTAAAAGAGTAACAATTTACAAATGTAAATTGGAAAAGGGGGAGTGAGCGTAGAGTATATGCCTTACAATTCAGATTTCTCAGATTCAAGAGTTGCTGGGTATGAAAGCCCTTATTTATGCTTCCCTATTGAGTCTTCCCTTTGTTTCCCTTCAATACTATATTTGAGCTTGTCTGCTCATTCTGCCTTTGTAACAGAAGTTACGTCTGCATTTGTAACAGTTATTGCTACGAGGATTAGTTCATAAATGTGATTCACTTCCTAAACTGAAATAAACTCACAAGCGTTGTGAAAAGTAAAGTCATATCACTTGCACCACCTCAATTCATTGTTCCAGAAATTCTATTTTGATTTTTTTTTCAATTTTAAATGTATTTTAAATTATTGCAAATGAAACAACACGCAACATTTAGCTACAATAGTGCCTGTAGATCCTAGTGTCTTAATCTGAGCTGGACTACTTAAAAATCAGTCTAAGAAAGAGGACAAAAAAGATAACAGGTAGAGAAAACAAACAAACAAACAGATAGACAGGCAGAAAAGAGAGAGGAAGTGATCTGCTCAACTTAATGCATCTAGCAGAAAGAGAAGGAAATGAATATAAATTTTCTGACATCCAGTTGAATGCCCCAATGCTAAATCAGTCTGGTCACAGAGTTTTCAAAGGCTGATCCCTAACTTTATAAAAGGATTTTTGTTATGTTTACATACGAAAGAGGTGTCCGAAGGGACCAAACTTGCATCTTGTTTTCATTGCCAGAGAGCTTTGCTTCAGGCTCTGTTTCCAAATAAAAATGTTTTCTATGAGGCCTCCCATTATTCCCATTATTCTTTAGGGGAAATAAAACTAAATGACTATCTCAAGCAGTATTTTTTCCTTGTGCTAAATGTTGTTTTGAACTGCTCAATTATAAATCTTTTTGCAAACCTTTTAAGACAAAATACTCAATCATAAATTGGACAAACTGTTGGACAATCTACACTATCTTACTGCTGGATCTGTTTTTCACTGACAGATAAAAAGAAACAAAACATTGTTATGTTTCCAACAATATTTTTAGCAAATTAACCGCATATTAAAATCTTCACTTTTTTTAGCTTAGCACTGCACTTTCTCCAGATCTCCTGGCTGGAGAAATCTCCTCTGATTAGTGTTAGAGATAAAATTTCTCTTTCCGTGATGTGAAAAGAAGAAACTATTATCTGATTAAACCTTCATAAAGATTGAGGAGATGTAGGAAATCCATAGTATTCTATTCAGTTTTGCTTTATCTTGTCAAAAGTGAGCAAAACCATGTTTTTTAAGCACCTCATCTCAAGAAACAATTGCAAGCTTTAAACACACAAATATTGGCATGTTCACCCACTTCTGGCAGCTGCAAGGCCCTGTAAGCCTCTAAATCGTAACATCACAGCAGCTTGGCTTAGATATCTTATGAGTAATGCACACTCAGAAACATCCAAGTATGAAGCTTGTTCCATCAGAGGGTCTAGCTGCACGTATAGCAGTAACATCTCCCCAGTACATCTCCATCTTCAGCTTAGGGGTTGGTGATTACACCTTCATCAAACACTGGTGCACTCAGATGAGGACAAAGCAAGCATACTTGAAAATAAAATATACCAAGTTAAAAACTCCTTGTTTCCTGATGAATACAAACATGCTAGAACAGATTGGGAACATTCGAAGAAGCAGTTTTCCCACTGCTAGGTGTTTATTTGTCAAAACTAAAACTTTCTTCAAAAAAGTACCTGCATCAATTGCAAGGGAATAAGAGAGAAAATAAACACGTGTGTGTGTGTATGCGCAAAGGTTTTGAGAAAGCAAGTGAAGCAAAATCTCTAGCCCCAAGGATTTTATATGATTTTTCTTATGACAACTTCTTAAGGTGTTTATAATGGGACAATCAACCTAGTTAGAGGCTTTTGTAATCTTCCTCTAACCTACTTTAAGTGCCTATGCCTATCTTTGGATTTGAGTCACTTCCTATCTAAAACTTTATTGGCCATCCAAAATTCACTGAAGCCAATAGTAGTCACAGCATATATGGCTTTTGAGGCAGCCACATGTATAATTAGGCAGTTCCAGTAAGTTCATGATGGTATTACAAGAGAAAGCTGCTTAGTGAACCAGCAGTGCTCTCCTATACTTTGACCTCCTTTGCCCAAGCGAAGAAAGAATTCCTTAGATTTGAAATAAAATGTAACCTTATCTGATGGAATTAAAACTATCACTAGTTGAGATACAAGTAAAACATTATACCTTTTTATGTTAAAGGCAGTATAATGTACTTATCTTTGCAAATATATACAAACAGTTTTTTACAGAAGGTGCATTTTTCTTAGTAATGCATAGTAACTTTTCAGAATGATGAATGATTACCTTATTTTTACTCAGATGCAAGGTAATCAGAATGATTACCTTGTTTTTACTCAGATGCAATTATTTAATGCACTTGTCTCAGTCTTTATATCAATAATGTTACCTTTTCTTCAGATATCTATCTAGTCCTGTGCAAAAAAAGGAAAGGAATATATTATCATGGATAGATTCCCAAATCGGGTGACACTGAGGACATCAAGCATGTCACACTCTTAATGTCTATTGCTCCAGTAGGTCTGCAATATTTAGCACTATATGAGACATACAGAGCATACTAGATATGTATGAAGTGATAAATAGAATGTTTACACCTGTTTGCAGCATGAGAGTGCTACAGTAAGCAGGATAAAAAATCAGTTTACATAGTCCAAAGGGAACCATATACTTCCTATCTCAGGTGTCTCCATTCAACAATTTCATTTATGGGACGGATATATGCAGAATCAGACTGGGAATGTCTGAGATTTGAAGGTAAACGTGCTTATACCTGGGAAATTGGGGCAATAATTTCAGGAAAGGAAGGCAATCATTTAAAAACAGAAAAACAAACACTCCTCCACACACACACACAAAACAGACAGATAAATACATCTGTATATAGGAGTCTGATTCAAGATACCTTGGCTTGTATAAACTATCACAAGACAGTGAAAATCAACAGAGCAATAACAATTTACTTCTGCTGAAAGCCTGACAGTAATAGGTTAGAGTGATTCAGTGAAGAGATGACACTATTCTCAGTGATGTCAATTACCACAGTTACATTACATAGGATAGAAATAATCAGAAAGGGTAAATGTTTTCATTTTTTATAGTGTGAATCAACTGATCATTTGCAACAGAAAGAAACTGCTGCTGCTGACAGATGATTACATAATTACTTAACTACAAAAATTACTTAGTTTTTGTACCTTTGGTATGAATAGAATATTCAGCTGGATAGCTTATCTACCACGGCAAATCCTAAACTCAGGAGGATAAAGCAGTTATTTAAAATAATAGGAAAATGAAATAATAACAAGCAGAAAGCAAAGATAAATACAGAAGTGACAGTGAAAATCTAGGCAAGTACATGAAATTATACAATGTGAAAAATAGTTAAAATAACAAATCAAAGGACATCCTATTTCTTTTGTGAAAAGTTGGTTATTCCTAAGAAGAAATAATTAAATACACATTCTCATATCTTGCAAGAACAATACAGCAAATGCTAATATCTTGCAGAATATTAAAGTAACACCCAAAAGAAATTAGCCACCTATTAAATCTCTGTTGCAAAAGCAGTGCCCTAGAAGAACATCAAAATATTCATCAGATCCAGTGTACTGTTTCAGGACACTGAGGTAGTACAAACTTGAGGAGATCTGAGTATAAATTACTTTATTTTTAAATTGTTGGTGATGAAACCTAAAAATATCATTTATTTACATTATCGTTTTTCTCTTCCAGATTAGATGGTCATTTTTTTTAACAAGTGTGAGAGGCCATGAGTGATGGCCTCTTCATCAAGTTTTAACTATAACTGTTGCACTCTGGTGATTCTGAAATTTGTTACATTTACATTTACATTCATAACTGTTATTCATGTACCTGTTCACACTGTTTTATTTCATATTGTATAAATCTTTAGATACCAGGATCTTACCTAATTCCATGAGCCAATGGAAAAAAAAAAAAAAAACACAAAACATACGGAGTAGAAGCCTGAGATAACTGCTGGGCTTATTCATCTTGCTAGAAACTAGTGCTTGATATTGTAGATTCTTGGAAATAAAGCAAACAGAAAAATCTATTTTAAATAAAAATAAAAAAAAATGAAGTCAATTATGTTAAAATATAATTAGAATAATCATTTCACTGAGTGTATCTTGAGAGGCAATGTTGTATACACCAGTTTCAAGCTAAACCACTTGGAAATTAATGTCTTCTGTTTCATTTGTGCTTTCCAAGCAAGAAGTTCCTATTTTTTACAGTAAACCTTCTTAGCATCATATATTTTCCAGGAATACAACTGAACGAAGCCCTTTCTGTGATAAGGGGTAACAAAATTATGTGTCAGGTAGGATTATCTTCCTTAGGGTGTGTGATTTCTAGCTGTTGGTATTCAAAATATTTGTCCTTTAGGATTCTAATTGTATTTTTCAGCCTCTTAAATCACTCAAATAAATGAAGTCTGTCAAGGAAAGGTATGTGGAGTTAAGAAATTAGAACGTCTGCCTGGTATATCATTGGTCACACTCCATTTTTGCAAAGCAGATCTCTGCAGAGAGAAAATAAATACATCGACCTTTCCATAAGCACTTTCCATAAGCACATAGTAGCTGATCTGAAGGGAGAAAGTAACACAAATTTTAACTCACTGTCCCTTCCACTTATTTATAATTGGCCCCATGTGATCTGTGGGAATCCTGTCTTGGGCTACCCTGATGCCAGGTACTGATCTATTGGAAAGGGGATAGGAGTAAGAGAACTTAGTTATTTAATCTTTCATTATCTTGTCTTGAGATTATTATCAGTATTATCAGTTGAATTTCAGAAGAAGATTCAATGCTTAAAGATGGAGAAAGGGCAAGCACAACATCATTTCCTAAGTATTACCTTTGCTGCAGAGAATGGATGGAAGCACTGCTTTTTCCTGAGATCTTGGCTTTTCTGATGTTGTGTTTCTAGCCGGCTTACCTTCTATGTACAAGCCAAAGCACAGAGTTAGGCAAACACTTACGGAATAGATATCAGCCCCATCCCGTCGGCAGAGCTTTTCCTGGGTCCTACCTTTTTGATTTTTGACCAGCGCTTCCTCCCTGGATGGACCTGGGCCTCGGCAGCCCGGCCGGCGCCGGTGCCATGGCCACGGACACTCTGCCCTTGGGGCCCGCCGTTGCCCAGCAACCTGTCAACAAACGCAAATTCTGCCGCTCCTCGGGTGCTGATTGGCCACGCGCCAATCGGGCACTGTAAGAGGGAGGAGCTGAAGTCTGGCTCAGCCAATAAGAAGGGCTGTCAGGGAGGCTCCCAGGAGCCCCCATTTTTGGCAAAACTATTTCAGTGTTTGAGATTTCCCCCAATTAAAAATTGCAACAATGCTGCAAAAATAATAATAAATGACCACTGCAGGAAACCATCCTAGGAAATCTAAAATTTCTATGGCAAGTGCCTTCCTGGCAGTTCAGAGTACACATCCATTCTGCTTCTTTCATTTCATCCCTTTCTGCACCAAAAATATAATTCCCCAATTACTGAAGACCTGCAAATACAGAAGAGACTCTGCACTGAGGTTTGGCAGGGACAATGTCTGCTGCAACAAAAGTTTACTTCAATCAAACTCTCATATCAGCTTTGTACTGACATGGTCGGTGTAGACATTCATGACCTACATTTCAATTTATAAACAATAAGTAAGTATGTGCTATTTGACTTCATGTTGACAATGATGGTTACCAACTGACAGTCTATTACCAGCATCATTCACATTCACAGCCTCTTCTTAGCTGACCGAATTTCAGTTTTGAAAAACTTAGCTGCTGAAGGCAGAGTATTCAAATTGTTCTAAAGAAGACTTCAAGGAAATATCATGGCTTGTTATATTCTTGAAGAAGCCTTGATTTTCCAAGGCAGACATACATAGACACTCTGATATTTTGAATGACCATTTGTACTTGACTTTTTAAGTGATTATTAATAATTACTTAATCTATTTCAAGGTACTTAACATATTATATGTAACATATTTATGCTATATAAATATGTATATATAACATATTTATGTCATAACACCCTATTATGTAAATGGTTCAATATTTAGATCAGAAACAATTTTAGTTGTGGAGCTACATATGTATAATATACAGTAGAAAAAATGATAACTGTGTTAGAAGAGAATACTACAGTTACAGAGTCATAAGGCAGGAAACATGAAGATTAAGACATTAAGATTAAGACTATTACTTCGTATATCTAAGAGAAAAAAACGTAATCAGAAATGAAAACACGCTTCCATCTTGCAAACACTTATATACAAACTTAATTTATATATCTCAGGAAAAGATATTTTTCCTTTGATTCCCTAAGATTTTAGGTTGGAACTCATATCAGCGGTAGACCTGAGGAAAAACAAGACAAAGTCAGAGGCCAATTATTTCCACAGAACATCTTCTTTAAAGAAAGACTAAACTATATAATCAACCAAAAAGCTCACTAGAATAGGCTTTATCATATGAATTTCAATTGCATGTAGATACGTAGTTTCTGAGAATTTATACAGGGAAGAATGTAGTCTAATCATTATTTTATTTTTCCCTATTACTTAATCAATAATAATGACCTCAACATCTACCAAACAGAGTGTTCTGGAACATCAGTAAAGATCCTTGAGGAGAGTTGACAAACAGTATAAAAAAAATCACTACCATTGACTTATTCTATTTTCACAGAAAATTATGCTAGGATGTCAATGCATTACATGGAGAATATCCATGGGATCTCCCTAATGTCTGAAATGAACATAAATAACATATTCATATTTAATCAGGACACGAACACTCACGATAAACTTAATTAGTAAACATTTTTATAATTATCAAGACTGCTAATAACTCTTTCAGTTCTATCATTGTATTTTGCATCTTGCAAAACTCTGGGTGGGATGCTATTTAAAGGTCAACTTGGAAAAAGCACAGGAACAATAAACAAATGAAGAATATGAAAAATGCCTTAAAAAGTAGCTGAGATGGGGTGAATGTAAGGGGTCATCAGTTTCTAGGACTTCCTTATTTTTATTGTTTACTGTAGATTTTTTTATGCAGAGAAAAATAAACGAGGAAAGCCCATTTTATTACACATTACCTTTACTTTGCAGCTTGCTTTTCCAGTTCACAAGTGCTTGTAATATGGCTACCCATTCCTGATGTTTCTTTTCTGCAGTGTGCTGTACAGTGCTGTTGGATTCATCTAAGACTTTCTTAATTACAGCGTGCTTTGATAATACAAGATTTAAAAACTTGACTCTTCATGGCATAAAAGCAATCTACATTTAATATGATTCAGTTGCTATAAAGCAATTAATTGGAGGACTAATGTATTTATTTTGACATTGTCTTGGTAGGTAATGTCCTTTTACTCTATGGGCCACTACACAGACTACAGACACTCCAAAGAAGTATATCTCCAAAGCATCTAAAAGGATGTCAGGAACTGCCAGAAATGCAGTTGCAGAACTCTTATTTCTTGAGAAAGAAAAAGGTTACACTGAACTGAACAAACCTTGAGCCATTTTTTTCACTACCATTTCTAATGGGCAGCCAGAAGACAGAAAATATTTTGTTTCTGCTAAGAACACAGTTCAAACATGTACAACTAGATTTCCCTTTGAAGCTGGAAGTCTTCCCAGGGAGATGGATACGGCTGCAGCTGAAGCAACAATAATTTTTCACACAGTGAAATACTACCATACATTCCAAGGTGGGAATATTAGCAAATTACGGAGCGTTAGTGATATTTCACTGTTGTGATCACTTGGAAATACCTACTGCTTCTTTTCCACAAAACATTTATAAATCACAGTTATGCTCCTATGACATATTCAACAGCTTCTCTGTAATTGTATCACATGTCGGTAACACAAATTAGAAGGAGAAATGTGAAATCTTTCAAACTGCAACCATTAACAAGAGAAGTTTTGAGACTGAGTTTTGAGATTGCAAAAAGTAATAAAGGAATGGAAAGAATTCCTGTGTTTGGCTAGAAAAGAATGTACATAGTATACAGAAGAAGCAACAGAAGATTAAATAACAGTGTAAACACTGTGAGATGTGAACTTTCTAGAAAAATACTTTCATGAAGACAAATTTTAATTAAATTATCGAACTTCCCTGCCTTGGCAAAAAAGGGTAAAATCATTAGTTATGAGAAACATTCATAGACAATTTTTTTCCTGTGAATGCCCGTCCTCACTCTAGCTATTAGTCATACAATGCTCACCACAAAGACGACAATTTATATTGCCCTGGATACTGCTCTGAGTTTATGCTCCCTCTCCTGGACTGTTGTTGCAATTCATGGTAACCAAATTTATTGGCCTACCTACCCAGAAGGCAGCTTGAGAGTCATCACTCCTCACACACTAGAGCTTTCTGCTGTAAATTTTCTTACACAGACTGCCAAGAACATCAGATGATTTGGATTTGCAGAAAACAGAACACCTTTGCCTTCAGTTCAAGGCAGACCAATGTTCCCCTATGCAGACTGTACGTTTCTTTCAACTCCCTTGGAGTGGTGACTCATTGCAGTCTGCCTTTTCACTTGTACTCTCACTTTCAGAGAACCCCACATATGCAGCCACTGTTGCCAAAATCTTTCCTAAGAGCTGGAATCACCTTGTACCCAAGGCAGCCTGCTCAACTATGCCATTTTATTGCCACTCAATCAAGAAAACTACAAAGAGCTCCCTAAGATCCTGTGTTCCTAGACTCCTAGTATTAGCAGAGAGATGTAAAATGCAATAATATTCAGTCAACTTTGGGACAAAACTGCCTCCAATTCATTATCACTGCAACTGCACTGCAGGAGGGCCGAACTACACACAGTATACTCAGAATGAGGCAACTTTCTTGAGAACAGATGTTCAACCTTCTAATGACTCATATTCTCATATTACTCCTCTGTCTCGACAGAGCCTTCTTTTTTTTTTTTTTTTTGCACATCCTTTATATCTTATACATCTCCATCACATCAGAAGCATCCTTCACATGGAAAAAGTAATAGGTCACACAGGCCTCTAATACAGCAGATCAGACATAGCAAGAAGAAGAAGAAGAAGAGGTTGCAGCTCTACAAATTGGAGTTAAAATAATAGCAACAGACCTAAACCAGTAAAATACAAACTTCCACAGGATAAACTTCTGATTGATACAGAATTATTCATCTCTTGAAGGCACCAAATCAAGTCCACCTGAAATTGGGAAATATATCTTCGGGTTTGCTACAAAACAAACTTACATGAAATACTATGGCCTATGTAATATAGTAGGTCAGACTAATAATCTGTTGTTCCTTCCTGGCTCTAAAATTTGTGAATCACATAATTCTTCCTAAGTGGCCCTCACAGGGATTTAAGCCTTGGTGACTTTAAACCTCTACCTTCTCTATTTTCAGTTACAAATGAAAGATTTTTGATGTTTTGCCCGACCCGCCTACCATTTGCATTTTTTTCACAGTATGCCCCAAAATGGGTTTGCAAGTAGTACAGTTACAAGTTCCCTATACTTACTCTTTTTCCATCCATAAACTGCATTGGAAACTAAATGAGCCAGGAATAGTGTCAGCAAAAAGGACAGATTTTCAATTCTCCCTTAAAAATCACACTTAGGCAAGATCCAGAAATTTATTACAGCTGAAAAATATGAGAACTGCACTTAGGCCAGTTTTTCTGCCATAATCCTCTCTAAGCCAAGATGTCATTAAAAGAACAGCTGTGTATTTTAAACATGACATGGAATCTAAAATCTCTCCACACTCAAACAAGGAGTGAAGAAAGTCAGAGTTCCTTCAGTCTTCGGATGGGTCTGAAAACACTTGAAGGTCCCCAATATGTGGTCTGCTAAGGCATCAGAGTAAACACATG